TAAAGCAAATTCGAAAATAATATAATTGCGGTCCCAAATGACTGAAAAACATTTCCAAACATATTTAATTGCTTTTTAGGATTTTATCATTCTCAAATCTTTAGACGCAACTTTCCAATAGTTTTAACGACCATTTAACCACTGTCATAGTTTTCGAAATTAGATGTAATAACTGATAGTCATTTCAAATTCTTATATTAGAAGTTAAGTCAGTAATGAATATCATTGTTGATAAATTAAAACTAAATTTTTTCCACTTTAAATAATATATAGTAATATTCTTAAGGAATTAGTATAGGGTTCGTTAAGGCACCTCATTGACTCTTCAAATGAGGTAATTTTCACGTGAGGACCTCGTACTCAGAAAGCATATAACTTAATATTCACTCCAAAATTTATTAGACCAAAATGTCAGTTGCTTATTGTAAATTATTTATATATAATAACAATTTTTTGACGAACTTGTAAAATTTTATTAATTATGTCAACATTTATTTGGAAAAATTTGTTTTATTTAAGTATTATTTCGCATCAGTTTTAAATGAATGTAATTTTTAATTAACTATTCTGTTGAATAAAACTATTCAACTATTTTTAGTTAACAAAGTTACTATTGAAAGAAATGCTAAATTTTGTATGGAAAATAAAAAATAGATAAATATAAAACAGAAATTCTGTTCAATTCAGCTAAGAAAATTGAATGAATTTAGTAGTTAATTTCATGAATGTTTAGAATTTTACTTTTTACAATATTTTATTTTTGAAAATTCTGTTAGGAAAAATTTTTGTTCGATAATCTATTAAAAATCGAGTAAATAAAATTTCTGACAAATGTTAAATGCAAAAAAAAAAAATTTTTAAATTCGTCTATCAATTTTATTGAAATTCTAGAGCCATTTAAGTATATTAAGACGTCATTTAGAAACTTCCGGGTTTTTGGTCGATGACCTTGAGGGGGACTATGGAGTGTTCCGGAACGGAACCAGTGGCGAAGAATGGAAGCAGAGTTGAGCAGAGTCAAGTGACTCAAGGATCAGGACATAACAACAAGAGAACTAGAAATTGTAGAGGGTACATTAAATAGGTAGGATAAATGGTTAATAGGTGCAGAGTGTAGAAAGTGGGTGTATTCGAGACCGCCTACCATCCAATAAGGTACCTTGTTTCTCAAGGGACTCCCTGTCCTTTCCTCCAAGGGTCCCTTCTCCAGCACGAGACTCACTCTGGAGGACTCACATCTGCGATAATAGTACTGTGGGCCCCTTAGTTCATGCTATAGACTAGCACGCTTTAGAGCATCTCCAACAAGTTTCTCAGTTCATCCCACGTTTCATTCCGAAACACATCAACAGAACGAGTTTATTACGGATTTTTCCGAAAGTCCGTTTTCTCTTCTTGTTATTAAAAAATTATTTTCTAATTGCATTCTCTCAATTTCATTGTCAAATCTACTTTTCAAATTTAAACTCCGTGATAACAGTATTCAAAAGAAAAATATTTAAACAAAAATTCTTTTCTTGTTTTGGATATTTAATAAATAAAAGTGCCTACTCAGGAAAATAGTGAACAAATGTGTTAGGGACGAAGAAGATAAAGCAATGAATGATATACAATTTTTCAAAATTATTCTCTTTATAAAATAATTTTTTCAATTTTTAAATTCAAAAAAATTAATAAAGTAAATATAAAAGAAGATATCAAACATTGAATGAAGCATTTTTTAACAATAACATTGTTTGGATTTACAAAACTTTCCTCTTATTTACAATTTACTAATCGAATTTTTATTGACTTACTTATTTTTAACATCTACAAAAAATGTTGACAATAATTTTCTGTCAATTATTATTAGATCGTAAATGATATGGGTCACTAGTGATTATTAAACATTGAGTCAAGTGATAAAAAAAATTAGTGTTCAAAATGCTATTCAAAGGAAATAGTTCTCGATTGGAACTACTAATTGGCAAAATCCAAGCACATAAAGATCCACAATCACCATCTAGAGAGGAAAAGTGCAACATTAAAGGAAAAGGTTTGTTTTAAAAAATTGCATTCCAAAAAATATATTAAATTGATGACAATTGAAGTTTATTTTTCAATTAGTTGCCAAACAATATAATATATTTATTGTAATATAATCAATAATTATATTCGAATAATATTACTGTTATTAATATTTCAAAAGTTTTAGTGTACGGGTAATGATCCAAATTCATCACCATCACCATAAACTTAATTTATTACTCTCAGTAGAAAATAAAAATTATACTCAATGGCAATAATAGTAATTTCAATTATTATTTCTATTGACTTTTGAAGGTCACAATTGATAAAAAAATTTGTGTCGTTATAAGAAATAATATACCTATATTCATTATCAAGAGCAAATGTTGAGAGAAAGTTTTTTAATTCACAATTAAATTGTAAACTTCGATGTGAAGAATGGACTTTTTTGGGATCTTCATCATCTTAAGTTGTAAGAATTAGTTTTAGTTGTTTGCATAAACAGAAAATTGTGAGATATTATTTTTATTCCAAAATGGATGAAAATAATCTGCATCGCTTTACATCAAGGATTAAAATAAAATCATCAAAGGATTCCTTTTTCAAAATGTTTTCAAAATATTTTGGTTTTGATTTAGACGCAAATTTTCTTCATGGGAAAAATTAATCGACTAATTTAATCTTTTTTGGTATTATAGTTCAAGCAACTAAGAGGTATTAAAAAGCATCGCAACTTGAACTAACACCAAAAAAGATTAAATGAATCGATTAATTTTTTCCATGAAGAAAATGTGCGCGTTTAAATCAAAACCAAATTATTTTCAAAACATATTTTGAAAAAAGAATCCTTGGATGATAATAGAAATAAGCGGTTATATTATTATGAATTTAGAGACAATTAAGAAAGTTGTTGAATAGACCCTATTAATAAGCATTTCAAAAGTAGTCTATAAATAGCAAGGATAATGTGACAACACTCTTGTGCATCGGCAGGTCGCGAGGAAAGAGTTGCATGTGTTAAGTGCGCCTATTCTCGCCACGATGACACATCTCCCCTGATTGGATAGAATCGGTTGCTAAATAAATCCGAACCACAATGAGAACTGATCTTTTGCACTCTTCATGTCTCATCAATCTCTTTTGTCTCTTTCTCTTCAATCGTTCCCTCTTTTTACAATTACAATATACACCATTGCACATATATATACATTTCCATCGTCCAAACTTGAATACACCGTTTACACATTCTAAAAGTTTATAATTATAATCCTCAACCGAATAATTTTTATTTTAATTCATGAAAATCTTGATAATTTTTATCTGTAATTTGAAAATGTGGAAAGGGGTATTATAATCAAGCGCCCCAGCTGTATTTATATTCATTATAGGTCGCGGAGACTCCTTCGAACTCGATCTATTCGAGAGATGATTCACAGTGCGACAACCACGCGTGAACATTGTTGGAGTTTCCAATCAGTTCATGTGCCAAAACTTGTTTCTTTACATATATATATATATATATATGACATACTCTGTTGCTTGCTACTGGATGAAAAACATTTTATCCACATACATCAGTTATAAATTTATAATTTCGAAATTTTATACACATTTTATTTGTCATCTCTTATTTATTGTCTTAATATTGAATAAAATTGCATAAGGTAAATGAATAATAGCATAAATTCTATATTATAAAAAATAAATAATCTTTGTATAGAAACAATAGAAACAGAACTGAAGTTTGACTTCCTCGTTAATGAAAATGTCTAACAAATTGAACTAAATGGTGAAAACGATCTGTGGCGCCTGTGTATAGTACAATTTACAGAAGGTTGTGTGGATAAATGATGAAATTTAACTTTTGTAGTGTGGGTGGAGGATGCGACCCATTGAAGATCCACGTCGTATAGATCATTACGTTGCGGGTTTGGGTGGCAGAAAACATACATGTGGTCGTGAAATGCATTTATATGAACAAGATTCCATAAAATCTCTTAAATTGACTCGTGGGTGTCTTTTACTCATTGCTTTAATAAATGAGGAAACGGCCAACTAGCCGAATCATTTCCACTTCCACTGCGCGCGCGAGTTGATGTGTTCTATTTCACTTGCACTCACGTGCTTCTTCTCATACATCCGGTATTTCCCAGAATGCATAACGTCTTCACTTGAGAGATGTTATTTGATTCAAAAATTCTTTGATAAAGGGAACATTTAATTCTAATGAGAACTTCCTGCTCCCGATTATACTATGACTATATATATTCTTGTCTCCTTAAACTGAAACGAATTATTTCTTTATTTATATTTTCTTCTATAAGAACTCTTAATACAAATTTCCATTTTAATTTCCATTAAACTAAAATTTCGTTTTGAACATCAATTAATTTTACATAACTAAATTATTATTTAAATTTTCATTTAATCACATTTGAAGCTTTAACATAAAAGTAAAGGAATTTTTAAAACTTTTGATTCATATTTTTAATAAAGGAAGAAACATCAAAGGATTCATTTTCGGAATTTTTTTTATAAAAATCGCAATTGTTACGCATAATATTAATGCTAGTTTATGAATTCTCCCATTTTTAAAGAGAATAACCACAGCATTTCATATTTAAAAAATCCTTGTTTTAATGGTACAAGTTTCACCGCATGTACTCATTACAGAAATAATAAAGATATAACTGACAAGGTGAGGCAGACTACAGTAAAACTAATTCCTTTTTGAGTTGAGTTCGTAAGGTCAATATAAAAGACAAACTGGATTTCTTGCGTCACTTGAAAACTCGTTCCAAAATATCTATGACCATCTAATCGTGTATGCACTGACTTTAAGACAAAGTATCATTCTGAATTTAATGCCTTAGAAATAACGCTATATAACTTTTGAGTTCACCATTGTAGCACCAAACCTTTTGTTGTGCAACTGCAAGTGCAGCAAATAAATGATTGTTGCTTTTATTAATCAATTATTTTTTAAATTTCAGAGGCCCTTGGAACTGGAAGTTCTTCTTGGCATAGCGAAGACGGAAGACCAACATCGCGCAAGGGAGAGGAAACACCATCTTCTTGCGCAACTCCAACTTCCGCGAGTTTTCCCTCTGAACCGGAAGTCGAAACTGAAATCAATCCAATTGTCGATGGTAACAATCCGGCCGCACCGTATCCCTGCCAATTTTGTGATCGAATGTTTCCCAGATTGAGTTATCTCAAGAAACACGAACAGGTAACGTACTCTTTTTCTCTCTTTATTTCAAAAATTCCCATTTTTACAAAAATTGTAAATTATATTCAAGTCGCGCAAAAAAGTGATCATATTCTCTTCGCGAAGCTAAACCTAACGCACCTGGATAAAACCGGACTCATTTTGTCCTGTTGCGACAACCTGTTATGGGATGCTAGGATATGCTACAGATTTTGACCCGATGATGACCCAAACTCGACGCGGAAGCGCAACTAATTCTTTTACCATGCAAAACAGTAAAAAAAATCTTTCGGGGCCACGCGCTGCCCCAACAATTCTTAAGACCTTAAGAAATTCCAGTTTTCAAAACACAATTTTACCAAGAAGGTAATTTTACCGCGAGCAAAAATAAATATACTATTCAGCTCGCTTTTCAGTAATATCTAATGATGCGACACTCGCCAAAATTTATTCTAAACATTTGCAGAAAATATTCTTTCTAATATTAACAATTTGTAATCTCTCTTCATAAACCCTGTATTGAAAATGCAGAGATTTAGAGCTATAATAGTCACGAGGACTCTCTACAGTTTTGTAATGGTATGGTCGAGTATAATTTCCACCCATTGCAAAAATATCTTTATAACTGAATCCCATAATCCTTCCTCAAAGAAGCCGCTGGTCAAGTCTTTTCTTATACCGATCTACGTGCTTCACTGTAACTTTGTCGTCTTGACTTTAAACTCCACTTCTGTTTTACGTCCTAGCGGTGGTCGAGGACAAAGGCTCCGACCATATGGGTCCATATAATAATCAGACACTGCAATCTGGATGGGTGACAGTGGAAAATCACATACGCACGTCTTATTTTTCAAGTTACAAGCTTCGAAATTTCAAGTCTTATGATCTCATATTATAAATATTTATTTATTCTCATATAGTGTATATGAGAATTTTTCACAATTTTTAGAAATTTTTTTCATAAGTGAAACAAGAGCAGACAAAATAGGCCTTTGTTTACTTCAAAGCATAGTAGAGTCATTATATCATAATTTCGAATGTGTTACATTTTGAAGAAGATTTATCGTCGAGGAGTCATTAAATGTTACGCAGTAGTCGCATAATTATATTTAAATAGTCTACTGAATAATTTCATATCTATAATAAATCTTAAATGTCAACATACGAAACAATTTTCGATAAAGATTTATTTTTGTTTCAAATATTCTCATATTTATTAAAAAAAATTATTTTTCATAAAAACAAAATAAATTTAACAAAAGGAAGAGTTGACTTAAAAATGAATGGAAAACTAGAAAAATAGAGATTACTGTTATGAACCAGTTTATAAATTTTCGATTTTGTTTTTCCAGAGTCATGGAGATCAGATGCCATATAGGTGCAGTTGGTGTGCGAGATTATTTAAACACAAGCGAAGCCGCGATCGTCACGTTAAGTTGCACACTGGCGACAGGAGATATCGATGCTCGCACTGTGAGGCAGCATTTTCCAGAAGGTAAAAATAAAAAAATGTTTATGATTTTCAACAATTTTTCATTAGGTCCAACGATTCAAATTCTAAAAGTATGTTATCGAATAGAGTCCATGAAATAGAAGAGGAGCAGCAGACTTGTAACGCCTAAGAAACGGTCTATGCATACTTTCTCAAGGAAAAGTTACACTCATATTGTATAGTAATAATAAAGTGCACCCGACACCTTCAATACCTTATGTCCGGCGAGAAAAGAAAAAAAACGAGTTTACTCGTTCGGGAGATGCTCGCGTGAATATGTGTAGAATCTAGAATTGAGACACACAGAATGAAAGAGAGATGGAAAAAACCATTGAATCTTATATGAGTAAGCTTGACTAATGCCCAGAGTCCCACAGCTTGTGATCATTAGTCATTTGTCAACCCCATGGGCCTTAGAATCATTCAGTTCCAAGTCGACGCACGAGCCTTGAAAGTCGCAACTGATTCTGAAACACGACCTGTAATGTATTAATCACTCTGATCATATAAAGAAAATCTTTTATTTTTATTTCTTTGCTTTCAATCTTGCTCGAATTTTCAAAGATTTAAACGTCTCCTTCTCAATCAATAGGACTATTTTCAAAAACCTGTTTTAAATCGCATAATTTCAGTTGATTAGATGATCACGCATTAGTAATGTGAAAGTTGATTTTTTTTCTTAACTGTACTATTCGAAACCTTATATTATTGAAGTACGTCAATTTATCGGAGATATGTGGTGCAATCCGCATTGGAATAACAACCGATTATCGGACGAGGTCTCATCTTGATCACGAGAAAGAGATGCTCCACCTGTCAGCCACTATTACAAATCGCATATCTCGTTGGCATCTTTACGCCACGTCTATTCGTCGCTGGAAGTCGGCTTGGGTGACCCAACAAAAGAGAAGAAAACTTCTTCTGCTTCTCTGCTTTCAACTTTTTTCTCTTTTGGTACCCCTTTTTCTGATTGGTTCAGGTCACTCACCTATATACAAAAGACGTGTGGCACGTCAAGAATGTTATAGAAGATCGATGAACGAATAACGTACCTACTTCTTAAATCTTAACTGTTGTTCGCTGTCTTTAAATTATTACAATATCAAAACTAAACACAAACTGTAAAATGAATTTTTCGAATAATTCAAAGTAATCAAGGCTACCATTTTATTTTTTCTCTCCATTTTCTTTCCTTGAGAATAGTTTCCCCTAAGTACACTAATGGAGCAAATAACTCAGAGCCTAAAATTTCTTCAGCTCACGCACATCCGTTAATCTTTCACTTCGAACTGCCTTGTCTTTTATCAATAAAGTTCTAGCAACTTATTTTAAAAAACTAAATAAAGAGATCTCGGTCAAAATTGAAATAATTGCAACAACGATTTGTTGGTGTTTGAAGAAGGAAGAAAAGAAAATCGGAAGTTAAAACCCCACAGCAGTGATATGTTGAGAAGAGAACGAATTCGTTTCCCACGACAAACCACCCTTCCATCTTGGCCTTTTGTTTCCAACTTCCTACGCGCAATGAAACTCTCTCACTCCCTCTCTCTTCTTTCATTACTGGTCTTCTTGGGTCCATTTTTCTTCCAGTACTTTTTTCCAATGGCGTCGTTTTCTTAAAGAGAAAAAGATCTGGATGACTTGCCAGTGGAGATCAAACCAGAGGTCAAAGACGTGACGTAAAATCACCTGAGAAAGAAGCCTAACAACGTTTTCGTTTTTAACCCCTAAAAAAGAAAATCTTTAGAATCAAAGAACAAAATCAAGGTCTCAAAAACATTCTTTTGCTATAATTTTAAACATTTTTCTTGCAAATATCTTATTGATAATACCTATATAATAAATAAATTAAATTATTAAATTACAAATATTAAAGTATTATAAAAATACGCATAAATATTTGGTTTACCAATTACAATTAAAAATAAAAATACAATAGTGGTTGAATTTCAAATGTAAACTAAAATTAACCAGATCCAATAAAATATTAGATATAATATTATATCTCCTTTTCTATCATGGTCCGCAGTAATGCATTGAAATTAAATTATTCAGATGAAAAGTGCAAGGCAAAAACATCTGTCCATCTTCATTTGATATCTGACTAACTTTATTTTTGCACTGGACTGTTCAAATATTTACTGATCACTCAGACATTTATAGTATTATTATTCTATTGCATCTTTAAATGTTATTGTTGAGAGAAGAAGAAGATCAAAGACTTATTATTTCAATATCGCTAGATCGTTAGATTTTAAGATCGCTAATGACGTGACTATATTATATTCTAATTTCTAACATTTGTTTCAGTGATCATTTGAAAATCCACATGAAAACCCACGACACTCAGAAACCGTTTCAATGTACCTCATGCTCACGGGGATATAACACGGCAGCCGCTCTGACATCGCACATGCAGTCGCACAAAAGACACCAAAACACCCAAGGCACCAAACTGGAAGTGGATTTCGGCCGCAGGAGCGTCTCCTCGCACAGTACAGCGTCACCCCCAATTCCAAATTCGCCGTCCCCAAATTTAAATTTAACTGTCAACAATCACAAATCGATGAAATCACAGGCAAGTGCCTCGAACACGCCAATCTTGTCGCCTTTGAAGCTGACCTGCATGTACTGTACACGTGATTCCTTCTCCAGCATGCAACAGCTTCAACTTCACGTTCACACCATGCACCAAGCAATTCTAAGTGGGGAAAATCTCATGCCATCCCCGGGCCCAACAGCCGATTTATCAAGTCACCAGAAAACTGATCGATTAGACAGAAGTAGAGAAGTTATTTTTTATGCGAAAAAGTTTCCAGAAGAGAGGCCATTAGTACAGGACAAAGAATTATATGAGGCGGGACTTTCTTGTGGTCAGTGTACTATGAAGTTCTCGTCTCCAAATTCGTTACGCGAGCACTTAATTTCCATTCATCGAGTCGATGGATTTGGATCGTTAATGGTTTGTCCACTGTGTGGAATTCCCTGCGCGTCTGCAGCTGCTTACGCCGAGCACTATGTGCTCCAACACTGCGAGGACAGAAGATTGTCCGGAGAATATGGCGATCCGAAACTCAACGGATCCTATGATATCAAGCAGTTGAGGAATCAAGACCGAGCGAAAATTGGAAAGGACCTATTAACCTTCGAGCCGGCGGACTTGACCAATAAACACCTGAAACCCCCTGAAAATTACTCGGCCGGAACATTGTTATGTGGACAATGTGGAGCAGCTCTCAAGGATTTTGAATCGTTCAGAGAACATTTAGCCAGACATCTTAAAGCAGATCAGAAAAATGAAACACCCAGGAATCAGTGTTCAAAATGCGAGGCAAGTTTTCCGAATAGGGAAGAGATGTTGACCCACTTGACAAAGCACTTCTTGGGACAAGTCACCAAGGAGTACGCTTGCAATGCTTGTAAAAAGTTGTATCCCCATCCTGATCTTCTTCAGCGGCACTTGCTCGACTCACACGCGCATCATCTCTACCGTTGTTCTCTGTGCAGAGACACTTTTGACTCCCGGGTAGCAATCCAAGTGCATTTTGCCGTAAAGCACAGTCAAGAGTGTCGCATCTACCGATGTACTGTTTGTTCAGGATCCAACAATGAAAACTCCCCCGGAAATGCTCCAGTGGAGAACATGAACTTCTTCAGAAGTGAGGCCGAGATGGCGAATCACGTCAGAACAGTTCACGCACCACCGTCCCATGTGAACGAGAGTCCACTACCCAGGAGTCCCGCTTCGACTCCAGGTATGACAAATCGATGTGTTTTCTGTGGAATCTGTTGTACCTCCGACTTGGACCTTCAGCTTCATATAGCGAGTCATTCGACAAGTTTGTACCGCTGTCCTATTTGTCGTGAAGGTTTCGCAGTGGAATTTCTACTAGACAGACATATTGCTCAAGTTCATCATTCCAATGATCATTCGAGAAGCCACGCGAGAGAAAATGGGAGGATTCACCGACCTTCTAGATCTCAGGAGGATGTTAATTCTGAGTCCAGAGAGCAGCGGACGAAACGTGGACGTTCTCCAGCGTCGAGCAACAATAACTCCCTAAATCAACGGGATAACAACAAGAGACCGAATTATGGAAACGTTCAACAATGCGAACTCTGCGAACGAGGGGAATTCGCCAACGAGGCAGAACTTCAAGCTCACAAGAAGTTGGCCCACGCTCCTGCGAAAGTTCAGGGAAAATCAATGTCAGCTCTGAGTATGACTTGTGCGTATTGCGGAGAAGTTTGTCGCTCGCGAAGCGAATTGGAATCACACACGAGAATTCAGCATGCTACGAGCGAACACGGTGGTCGACACAAGTGCAACATTTGCGACGAAGTCTGTCCATCCGGAGCAACATTGGCTGAACATAAGCTTCAAAAACACTGCAAAATCCAGTTGAGCGATGTCTGCATCGTCTGTCGGGGTACTTTACACTCCGAATCTCAGTTTCTCGAGCATGTTCAGAGACACAGTCTGGAAAGTGTTGATCCCCAACAGAGATTGGACAGTTCCCTTCCTCACTTGCCAGCTCCATGTGTCGTTTGCAGGCAGACTCTAATTAGCGATCTCGAGGTCAGACTCCACGCGAGGCATCATCTAAGATCAAGCGGAGGATCCCAAAATTCCGAAAGTCCAAGTCCCAAACACAATAAGTCTCAAAGTCACAATTGCTGTCTTTGCCTCAGGGAATTTAATGGAGAAGAGTTTGTTAGTTTGCCATCTAATCATTCATCCAATTCGAGTCAAGCCCTTCTGTTTGTCTGCAAAGCTTGTTACATGAGGCACTCGCAAGGTCTTCCAATTCTGAACGCCGCTTATGAACACGCGAGGTCCAGTAAAAGCGAGATATGGCTGAAGGAGACGCATTGGGAAGGTACTTCCAGAGAGAAGTGGGATGGAAATTATAAAGTTGAGGAGAAGAATTCTGATGTTACCTCGAACGATGGGAGAAGATGTGAAGAATGCAATATTAAATTTGAAGATCCGGATGAAGCTGAGAAACACCGAATAGCTGAACATGAGAAGCCATTGGGAACGTATACTTGCATTCAATGTCAGGTATAAATTCATTCCTATTCATTTATTCAATTAGGGTGACAATCATTAATATAGTGGTACTATATTACTACTATATTAATTTTTTTATTATGTACTTTATAAATAAAAATCTGTTTCAGGTGTCCTTTCCAACAGAAGATAAAATTCAAGAACATGTAAAGAAGGAGCATCTGGAATCTTCTGGTAAAGAATCACTGGATGCTTTACGCTGTCATCTATGCTTATTTGATGCCAATAGTCCCCTGCAACTTCAGAGTCACCTGATAGAGCACACTTTTGCCGGATGTACCGCGTTAAGTTGCTATATTTGCCAGGCTTTGTTTACAGCTCCAATTGGACTGCAGGTACGTTCAAATCAAATTTCCAAATCCAAAGAACCTATATATAATCCCCAGAAAACGTTTATACAAAGCTCCTTTTTTTCGATAACGGTCATTAAAATAGTCAATAAACTTTTTTTTACAGAATCACATGATCCAGCAACATGGATTAGGAGCCAGACCATACGATTGTACCTATTGTGAACTAAAATTTTTCTTCCGAGCCGAACTTGATCAGCATATAGGAGTTTATCATTCCGCACGAGAACCATCACCACAAGATATTAAAAAAGTCGAGGACGGTACTCAGGGTACTAATTTTGAACAAGAACAAGAAATTCTTAAGAAAGTAACCATAAAAGAAGAAATTGGCCAAACTAATGAAGATGAAGAAATTAGTGTTGATGTTAATGAGGAATTTGAAAATCATGAAACAAACTCTGTTAATTTAGAAAATAAATCTGACAAAGTTCATTCTGAACCTATCAATGAATGCGAGGCGTAAAAACTGTTAAATTCAAATATTATTTCTATAGTTCCAAATTCTTATTACATTGTGTATATTAATTTACATTACTTCACTATATTTTGTAACTTATTTAGTTAAAAGAAAAGTTATAAAGTACTCTCATTTAATTTATAAATATTAATAATAGTTATATATTCTATTCTATAATTGTTAATTTTTCATTTGTCAAAGTTCAGACGACATGAATTGTATAAAATAATTGAATTGTAAATATTCTGTCTTCCTAAACAATATGTTACAAAACTTATATCAGTATATGAAAATTGTAATCGATCCATATACATGAAGAGGATTACAACATGAGTTTTCAAAAAAATATAAAATTGCGATTGAGCTCAAAACATTTAGAAATTTTCCTGATTATCATTATTAAAAGTTTTTTAACGCAACTTTAAGCAATTAAAATTTTTGTATTTATGTAAAATGTAAAATTTTTTTAAAAAAATTTTTATCTCTGATCAATGTGATCAATGTTTTTTTGTACATACAATTTTTTAAAGTAAAAAGTTACTTAGATTTAAGGCTTCGTTTCGTGAAAGTATATTTATAAGTTTAATATTGTTTATTAATAGACGGTTATGGTTTATATTTATATAATGTTTATTATTAAATTTATATATGCAATTTTATTATTAATTTTAATTAATTATTACTATTGCAATTATAATTTTTTTATTTTTCATATAATTACTATAATATTACATATTATAAATTCTACATAACTTTAGCATTGTTTGAATATTATCTACTGATATTTTTTTATCGGCGTTTTTAACAAGTGTTTAACATTTTGTACAAGAATTCAGCGATATATAGCGATTATATTATGAAAAAATGAATAATCTTTTCTATTTTTGTCTAAAACGAAGGATTTTTTTAAATAAGTTTCAGTTTGCAAAAGCAAAATTTGCTCATTCGAGTTAAAATTCTATTACTATTATTTTAGTATATCGCTCAACAATGTTGTTACTAAGCTATAGACGAAAACGTTAAATAAACTGTAACGCAGTATTTAAACAAAAATGATGCAATAACCTGTCCATTATAATTAGAATTACATCGTTAAGATATTTATAGATAAATAATAAATTATTGTTTTAAACCATTTCTTGTTTCACGTATCTGTCTTGATTTTTATTAATATTCCTATAATCACCTGTACTTCTTTCAGTAGTATAAGCAAAACTGCACTTCTTTCGAGCGCTCTCTGTCGTGAGTTTTTGATATGAATATATAGACGTTTTGGTCAGACAAATGATTATAATTGCGAGGCAATGCTGACCTAAAATTTAGCCAATATCTTTTTCTATTTAGGTTTTTTTTTATAGTTTTACATCTTCTGTACATCTATTCCCATACTTATGCCTAAGTGTATAGATATAGGATTATAAGGGTATGCTAAGTAAATTTTCGCTTATAACTTAATTTTTACTTAACTTTATCTTATTGACTTGCTTAATTTTCCTATAGTTTAAGTAGAATCTTTAAGAAAGCCTTAAAATTGTAATGTCTGTCTCAAAAAAAGCTATTAGTGAAATTTACGAAAAAATTTCTCACAAGAGAATTACTATCATCGTTGTAGTTTCAAGAAGCTTTCAATTTCATAAAGATTGGACAGTAGCGTTTCCACTTTCCAGTAGACAATTTTCGAATTTAACAAAGCGTGTCTACCGATAAGTGTAGGAAATCTATTACCATGAGCTGATAATTGCTATTTTATATTTTCATTATTATTAGCCGTGAGTTAATCTATTTTACCAACTGAAGTTAAGAAAAATATCTTTAAAGATATATTGATTTTTTAGTCGGTAAGAAAGGGGTATCTGAAAATGGTTTGTATTTACTCTTGTGTAATTTTGGTTGCATATATTAAGAGTCGGGTCTATATTTACGTTGTAAGTTACGTTGTTTCTAATTTATTTTCCATTTCTAAATTTATATAATTATTAATAATAAACGATGTTTTTATAAAATCAATATTATACTTATTTAGATAATATAAAATATTACCCTATATCTATAAATAAAATTCTCAGGTGAAGAAAAGAGAAAAATTAGTCTAGAGAAGAATTTCACCTTCCATCAGCTTCTTCTGATTTAACTTCCAGTTTCTATTCCCCTCTTTTCGTTTAGTGTTCAGCCATTCACAATGCATATGCAAATGAGCCAATTATTGTTCTTGTACAGTCTCAGCTTCTTTCTTCATCTGCAAATATTGCCAAAATGCATAGTAGAGCATAGAAGTAGTAAAAAATGAAAGAGAAAAAGAAATTTCCAAAACGAAATTAAAATTAGTTTTCGAATTTCATATAGCAATCTTATAAAACAGTGAATTGTAAGTCTATAATACATATTCCCCTCTTGATTGCGTTCATAACAGAAGGGTAAAAACCCCAACACAACAGATGTGCAAAAATCCCACGATAGGGCCATTGAGAGTACAAGTTTTTGATAAAAGAAAAGAAAGAGAGAAGAAAAACTAGAATATTTCAAGGCTAACCATGTGCCCTTGTAACACGTGTAGTCGTGTATGGTGTTAAAATCCATACAACTATAGATATTTATCGTATGTGTATACGTAAATACAGTGCCAGTGACTTTGGCTGCACACCAAAGATGAGTCGTACACTGGGAGAAAGAGAGAGAAAGGGGAAATCATATGACGCCCCTTAAGGTGGGAGATATGTGTGTGAAGGTAGTGAGGAACTGTAAAGATAGGTTAGTAAGTTAGTTAATGCGCATTTATATTGTGAATTACTCTGACGTAACAACAACATACACGTGGTTCACCACGTGGAGCGAATGTTGTCTCTTACCCCCATCGTGGCCAGCCGAATTTTAAATTCTCATTTTATGTTCGTTGCTTTTCAAGCTGCAATGAGGGATAACTTCAATAATTTCTCGTCTTAAATTTTTAAACTACTTTCAAGAGAAAAAGTTATAGTTAGATTTCAGGAATAAATTGTTATAATTTAATCTGTCTTTTTCTATATTATACTTTGCAATCGTGAACGAGTTTATCAAATGCAGCCCAGGTGGAAAAGTTAACTTTTACTAACGTTAGCCCAACGTTAGACTAACGTTAACTAACATTATAATCTGACGTGACCAAAAAATGTCATTAGATTAACGTTAGTCTAACGTTAGTAGCATTAGCTAACATTAACTAACGTTAACTTTTCCACTTGGAAGGGCTCAAACCAGTGAAAATATTTAAAACTACTAACTTTACGGACCAAAAATGAAAAATTACAGACCAATTACAGACAAAAATATAACCAGTCCGAGTCAAATATTTATTGATAAAAATTCACGCTATAATGCTTTTAGTATTATTCAATTATTATCTCACATTTTAATTGAAATTCATTTTTAAATGAATTTTTATTAGAAAATTTTACAAAAATTCAAAGAAGTTTATTAAAATTTTTTAAAATATAAATTAATTTCTATGAAGAATTTTATGAAAATTAAAAACTAATAATTGGATTCCTGCTAAAATGTTATTTTTTAAAAGAATTAAATTTTTGGGAAGAATTTTATAAAATTTTTAAAAATAATTAAATTCCTACCAAATAATTTGTTATTTTTGAAAATAATTGAATTATTGCGAAGTATTTCGTTATTTATAATGATAATTGAATTCTTGCCCAGAATTGTATTATATTTTTCAATAATAATTGAATATCTGCGATGAAAATTATGAAAAGTTTAGAAAATAATTGAATTTCTGCGAAGAATTTTATGTAGTGTTTGAAAATAATTGAATAATGTTAAAAATTTTATTATTTTTGAAAATAAATAAATTTTTGACGAGAATTCTAAAAAAAATTTGAAAATAATTGAATTTCTGCAATCATTTGTAACTTTTTCAAAATTTCCAAAATTGTATCGTGCAATTTACGAACTTTTAGTCCTTTTTCAATCAAATTACGGACTTTTTTTTCAAAAAACTGACTTTTACGGACATATGAAGCAAATTGACGGACCTTTACGGGATTTACGGACCTGTATAGTTAAATTTTAGTTTAATTTACACTTCTTGCATATAAAATTGTAGGTATAACTAAAATAGAAATTATGTTCGAAAAATAATTAAATCTTAAAACTTATATCAGTTAATAATAATAAATTATTTTCTTTAGCATCACAGACTAAGAGTATAACGAGAGGTAATACATTCACTGTAACGATCATGCTCACCATCGAGATCTTAATCTCATATGGTATCGTATAGTATTTTTTTAATACATAAGCGAATTGTAAGAAACTTTATTATATACAATAATTTTTATTGGTCGTTGGGTTATAAAAATATATTATCTTATATTAACGTATGGAAGATTTGACCGAAGTACCTACTTATAAAGCTAAAATGTAGTTTTCTTAAATTCAACCCACTTTTTGTCTTAAAAAATGAAAAAAAGTCAACTCTATGTCTTCAAGTAGGTACCTTAAATCTTAATGAAAGTTGTTTTATCTGCAAGTGGGCTTAAAATGATTTTTTTTTTTGTTAAAACACATTAAAAATCATGGATATAATACACATTGATATTATTGACAATTATATAAAATTTTTCTTTATCTTCAAATGGAAATTTTAAAGTTGAAGGAAGTTGAAGAACTGATAAGAAATAGAGAAACTGTAATAGTTACTAAAGGTGTATTCCTATTTCGGTCATGTTACTAAAATCAGAAGTTTCTCACTCTCTAAATCCGAATCAGTGAAATTTCACTGAAATTCAGTCAAACTTCACTGATTCAGTTTTAGAGATCATTTTTTATTATCATTAAATAACAATTGTTATGCATATACATTTAAAAGATATTTAAATATATTTAAAATTTGTAATACTTTAAAATGATAGGTACAGACATTTATTTATAACAGACTTGTTTTGTGTATAAATTTGAAGACAAAATTGAAAATCAGTTTGAGACTAATTATTGTAATGATTGAATTGGGTTCAAAAATGAGCACTTTTGTAACGGACTGTACGGAATGTTGGCGTGCCAACTGCAATGGAAATTTCCATCAGGATGGCGCGGTTGCTCGGACGTGGCCGCACCTAAAAAACCAGACAGCGTCCGCCAAGAGCCAGACTTAAGGCCATTCTTACGCGGACCCAACTTGTTATATAAGCCATCGCCAGTGCTGCCTGCACGTGGTCTGCCTTTATTACTAATTTCGAGTCATTCCCTTCTTTCTACGTCCCACTCTAGTTCTACCCTCTCTCCCTCTTTCTTTCTTTCCTTTTTGTCTTTTTTTTATCTCTTCCTCCTCTTATGAGATTTCCATATAATTCTCTATTCACTGCGATGATTCGTACTTTCGAATGTAGATAAATGCGCAGTTTTTTAAAACTGTATTTCTATTTAATTTCTGTAAATGTAGATCATTTCATGGTTTAGAGAATTTCTGGATATATTGTCGCACAAACTACTTCCTTTTTTGTTGGAAAGCAAGGTTGATAATTATTTTTTTCTCCCTTTAGCATATGTGAATTCTATTTTAAAATCAATTATCAGAGCTTTATAATTTTATAATTTCACTTCTGCAAAGTTGATTTTTTAAAAAAAAATTTTCATTATTAAAAATTGTTAACAGCTAATTTATCATCAACCTTGCACTTACCATGACCTCAGTTATGATTACTCGATGTTTGCCAATGAAAATTTCAAGGTGTTCACAGTCAAGGTACAGCATTGAACTAAGTTTATTGTGCAGTTGACGACCATAAAACCAGTATTATCATTCATAGTTTAATTTACAATATGTGTTCATAGAATCAGAGTGTGCAATTTACCCTTTAATAATGTTTCATGCACGTGTGGATATAAAGTTTTGATTTATGGTCCTGATTATCATCGTGTATTTTTATTTCACTCTATGTTATTTTTTTTTTAATATATTATATCAGAATCTGAAATCTTTTTAAAAAACTCAAGAATTGGAAAAGTTTTGAATCTCTTTAAGGTTTTAGTTTCCATAAGGAATAAATTGTCAGTAGTAGTTTTGTTTTTAATTTTTTCGTTCTCTTGTAGTTTTGAATTTTCGCGCGCTGTCTTTCCAGTATATTTTATGATCCTAGACAGAGAATCCTA